GTAGCGCGGTCGCATCTCGTACGCGGTCCTTGCCTTAGCTATCTCGTCTTTCCTGGTCGGGCACTGGCGGCTCCACGCTTCGTGCTCGCCGCGGCAGGCGGCACATTTCCTAGTCACGGCTTGTCCGGCCCTCGATGGGCAGTCCCGGGTGTCGTGCTCCTGCGCACAGTGGCTACATGCTGTTGCTGCCTTGCACTGGGTTCCTATGTGGCTGTATCTTTAGCACTTGAAGCACTGCTTTACTCAGCACTGTCGCTTGTATCGCTCGCACTGGAAAACCTCACCTTGCCAAATCAGACCCTCGTCGATGATCTTGTTGGCGTCCTCTAGTTTGGTGAACTTGATGGTGATAGTTGTTGCCGTCTTAGTGGTAGCATCTCTAGTAAGCCAGCCTATGTGTCTTATCTCGGCCCGGGGTATAAACGGTTAGTTGTCCTGCAGTATCTGCGCTCTGATCTCGTTAAGCTTGCTTATGTCTATCGTGCTCGTGCGTATGCCGTGTGCGAGGACGCTGAACGTCGGGATCTGCACTGTAGTCCCACTGCCTATGCGGTGGGCCCAGTCGTCCGCGAACTGTCGTAGCGCCTTGACTTCCCTGCTGCTTGCTGTCTTGATGCTTAGGTCTCCGCTCTTTAGCTGGTTAGATGAGACGATCTTCACGTTGACTATGTTTTTATTGCTACTTTGCTCGATGGCACGCTAGACATGCATTTTGAGGTTGCTAGGATTTATAGCCCTTAGGCTCTGTACGGTGAGGGGGTCTCTAATATTCATGATGACCTCACGCTGCGTTTGCGCAGATAGCTTTTTGACACTTTGTGCATTGTATGTACCTGCTAACGGGACTCCCCTGGCTGCCGCCGCAGCGTAGCTCATTAGTCCGTTCGCCTGCTCTTGTGGTCTCTTGTTCCTGATCTCTCGCGCAATCTCCAGCGTCGCTTTACCCACCTCTGTGGCGTCCTTGGCTGCCGCCCTCGCCTCTTCTGCCATGTTGCCATTTTGTTGTATCTTTGTTGCGGACTGTTGTACGAGTTCTACGGTGGACTTGAGTTCTTGTTTGATTTAGTCGAGGGTTCGCGCCGTGCTTTCTGCTGTCGCTCTTGCCTCGGTCCGCGCGACGTTGAGCGCGTCGCTGAGACTACTGAGGTTAGGGGAGTGCTGCGTCTTCAGTACGAACGTCAATGCGCCGCGAATGATATCGCCAACAATGTCTGCCGGCAGAGGCTGCTGGCCTCCGTTGCGCTCGATTAAGGATAGCACCTCGCGAAGGAAAGCGCTGAGGTTGGTAGCATGCTCGTCTATTGGGATCGGCCAGGTCGACCTTCGGGGCCACGGTGTCGCCATGACGCCTCAGCAGCAGTGGGCGCTACTTCTGAGTGCTGGCTAGTCGAAAGCCGTCTCTAGCGGACGTTTTGCGCGCGTTGTACTACGTTAATTCCAAAAAGTGAAATTCTCGCTGTTGTCGTGTTT